CACTTTCGGTGCCAAACGCTCCCTCTGAATCCCTGGAAAAAAAAAGAACTTTTCTTTCATTTCTTGTGTAAATTCTGGCTCCGAACACCTGACCCCGCCACGGCTTTTCCCAATCTAATTCTGGTCGAAAGCGAGCCTCCCCTGGTTGCATTTTCGGTGCGAAACGCTCCCTCTGAATTCCTAGAAAAAAAACATTTCTTTCATTTTCTTTCATTTCTTGTGCAAATTCTGGCTCCGAACACAGAAAAAATGTTTCTTTCATTTTCTGTCATTTCTTGTGCAAATTCTGGCTCCGAACACCGAGCGTCTCCAACGGCCAGTATGGCAGAACCAAGGATTTGGCGCGCCAGAGCCCCGACCCCACAGTCTCCAACGGCCAGCGCACAGAGCCCAGGGCCCACAGTCTAGCAAGTGCGACGTTTTGGAGCGTCTCCAACGGCCAGTCTGGCAGAACCATTGGCAAGGTTCGAAGGGTTTGAGGGGTTTGAAGCGACCAGTATGGAAGAACCATCGGCCAGGTTCGAGGGATTTGAGGGGTTGAGGGGTTTGAGGCGTTTGAAGGGCAGTTTCGGGCCACTAGAGAAAAAAAAGGATTTGGCGCGCCAGAGCCCCGAGCCCACAGTCTGCGCAACTCCGCCCACAGTCTCGCACAGCCTCCCCTGGTGGCACTTTCGATGCCAAACATTCCCTCTGAATCCCTAGAAAAATTTTTCTTTCATGTCTTGCATAAACCCTGGCTCCGAACACCTGACCCCGCCACGGCTTTTCCCACTCTAATTCTGATCGAAAGCGAGCCTCCCCTGGTTGCACTTTTGGTGCCAAACGCTCCCTCTGAATCCCTAGAAAAATGTGTTTCTTTCATTTTCTTTCATTTCTTGTGCAAATTCTGGCTCCCATTTCTTGTGCAAATTCTGGCTCCGAACACCGAGCGTCTCCAACGGCCAGTATTGGAGAACCAAGGATTTGGCGCGCCAGAGCCCCGACCCTACAGTCTGCACAACTCCGCCCACAGTCTCGCACAGAGCCCAGAGCCCACAGTCTAGCAAGTGCGAGGTTTTGGAGCGTCTCCAATGGCCAGCGCACAGAGCCCAGGGCCCACAGTCTAGCAAGTGCGAGGTTTTGGAGCGTCTCCAACGGCCAGTCTGGCAGATTCATTGGCAAGGTTTGAGGGGTTTGAGGGGTTTGGAGCGACCAGTATGGCAGAACTATCGGCCAGGTTCGAGGGGTTTGAGGAGTTGAGGGGTTCGAGGGGTTCGAGGGGTTTGAGGGGTTTGAGGGGTTTGAGGGGTTTGAGGGGCTTGAGGGGTTTGAGGCGTTTGAAGGGCAGTTTCGGGCCACTAGAAAAAAAAAGGATTTGGCGCGCCAGAGCCCCGAGCCCACAATCTGCACAACTCCGCCCACAGTCTCGCACAGCCTCCCCTGGTGGCACTTTCGATGCCAAACATTCCTTCTGAATCCCTAGAAAAAAACTTTTCTTTCATGTCTTGCACAAATCCTGGCTCCGAACACCTGACCCCGCCACGGCTTTTCCCACTCTAATTCTGATCGAAAGCGAGCCTCCCCTGGTTGCACTTTGGGTGCCAAACGCTCCCTCTGAATCCCTAGAAAAAAACATTTCTTTCATTTTCTTTCATTTCTTGTGCAAATTCTGGCTCCCATTTCTTGTGCAAATTTTGGCTCCGAACACCGAGCGTCTCCAACGGCCAGTATGGCAGAACCAAGGCTTTGGCGCGCCAGAGCCCCGACCCCACAGTCTGCGCAACTCCGCCCACAATCTCGCACAGAGCCCAGAGCCCACAGTCTAGCAAGTGTGAGGTGTTGGAGCGTCTCCAACGGCTAGCGCACAGAGCCCAGGGCCCACAGTCTAGCAAGTGCGAGGTTTTGGAGCGTCTCCAACGGCCAGTCTGGCAGAACCATTGGCAAGGTTCGAGGGATTTGAGGGGTTTGAAGCGACCAGTATGGCAGAACCATTGGCCAGGTTTGAGAGGTTGAGGGGTTTGAGGGGTTCGAGGGGTTTGAGGGGTTTGAGGGGTTTGAGGGGCTTGAGGGGTTTGAGGCGTTTGAAGGGCAGTTTCGGGCCACTAGAAAAAAAAGGATTTGGCGCGCCGGAGCCCCGAGCCCACAGTCTGCGCAACTCCGCCCACAGTCTCGCACAGCCTCCCCTGGTGGCACTTTCGATGCCAAACGTTCCCTCTGAATCCCTAGAAAAATTTTTCTTTCATGTCTTGCATGAACCCTGGCTCCGAACACCTGACCCCGCCACGACTTTTCCCACTCTAATTCTAATCCAAAGCGAGCCTCCCCTGGTTGCACTTTTGGTGCCAAACGCTCCCTCTGAATCCCTAGAAAAAAATCTATCATTTTCTTTTATTTCTTGTGCAAATTCTGCCTCTCATTTCTTGTGCAAATTCTGGCTCCGAACACCGAGCGTCTCCAACGGCCAGTATGGCAGAACCAAGGATTTGACGCGCTAGAGCCCCGACCCCACAGTCTGCGCAACTCCGCCCACAGTCTCGCACAGAGCCCAGAGCCCACAGTCTAGCAAGTGCGAGGTGTTGGAGCGTCTCCAACGGCTAGCGCACAGAGCCCAGGGCCCACACTCTAGCAAGTGCGAGGTTTTGGAGCGTCTCTAACGGCCAGTCTGGCAGAACCATTGGCCAGGTTCGAGGGGTTTGAGGGGTTTGAAGCGACCAGTATGGAAGAACCATCGGCCAGGTTCGAGGGATTTGAGGGGTTGAGGGGTTTGAGGCGTTTGAAGGGCAGTTTCGGGCCACTAGAAAAAAAAAGGATTTGGCGCGCCAGAGCCCCGAGCCCACAGTCTGCGCAACTCCGCCCACAGTTTCGCACAACCTCCCCTGGTGGCACTTTCGATGCCAAACACTCCCTTTGAATCCCTAGAAAAAATTTTTTCTTTCACGTCTTGCACAAATCCTGGCTCCGAACACCTGACCCCGCCACGGCTTTTCCCACTCTAATTCTGATCAAAAGCGAGCCTCCCCTGGTTGCACTTTTGGTGCCAAACGCCCCCTCTGAATGCCTAGAAAAAA